TTGCATCGAGAGCTATGGTAATGTTGCTCTGAGTGAGCGAAACAACATGCCGTGAAGGGTTTCGTCGCCTCAAAAATGGTGATTTTGATGTTGACGACCACCCTCGTGAAGGAAGGCCAAAACCTTCAAAAACGCGCTAAATTAAAGGCCTTGTTCGAAGAGGATTCGTGCCAAACTCAAGAAGATCTTGCTTCAAAATTAGGAGTTACCCATCAAGCTATTTCCAAGCTATTGCATGCGTTGGGGATGATTTAGAAGCAAGAAACTTCGGTTTCTTGTGAGTTGAAGCCAAGAGACGTCGAGCGTCGTTTTTTCGCCTTTAAACAACTGCTCCAGCGGCGAGAAAAGAAGAGGTTCTTCATCACATCGTGACAGGTGATAAAAAATGAATACATTACAGCAATCCAAAGAGGATAAAATCTCGATTCGGTCGAATATTCACTGAGAAGGTTATATTCTACATATGGTGGGACCAGGTCGGTGTTATTTGTTATGAGCTGTTGAAACCGAGTGAAACCATCACTGGAGAACTGTATTAAACTCAATTGATGCATTTTTTTCATAATAAAGTTACATTTTTATCGAAAAAACAGCGAGAACTTAGTTGCGCACCTAATGTCGTAAAATATATCATATATATCGTATCTTGAAAACTAAAGCTCATAGAAAAAAAACAATGTAATTTTGAAATCAGCGCCCCAAATATACTTAAGAACAGTATTAAAATCGTTTGCACCATTTTCTTTGTTGACCTGTGTAATAGATTCATTGACTACTATTAGTATAATTTTTTAAATAATTAGGAACTATTTAACATTTTAATTAAGAAAAATATCATATAAGGTAAAAACATACTAAGATACTAATTTTTAAGAAGGTTAGTTCATATATAAATCGTTTGGTTCTTTTTGGAACTTTATCCAACGAAGCTCAACAAGCCACCTTGGTTGGGCTCAGAGTGTTTTGCAACAAATGCAAATCTATTCTTTTCGCCGGTGGATTTTACCGGTCTGTTTTAGAAGTAGTTAGAGTAGAAGTTAAAGGCCAACCACTTTTGACAGACTACATTTTTCTTTTTTCTTGATCTCGAATGAAAAATTTTGTAGTGCTGACAAACTAGTACTATGTCATTTTGTCCATAGTATAAGTATGCCATTTTGTCTGAAAGTGAACAAGAATGAATAAATCGTCAAAATAAAACTTATCGAGGATTGTAATATGGCTTTTTTACATTAAACAATTGCAGAATCAT